GACTGTTTGTAGAAATTGAGGAGCCCAGCCCCTGGCCAAAAACCTATGGGTCATTTTTCAGGCCCAATCACAGGCAATTAGAAAGGCTCTTACCCAGCAGGCCTCACAGGAAAAGCTGCCCTTCCCACAGCAGATTTGGTGCACAGCCGAGGCGTCACAGACGGTTAAGAGGAGCTGCAGTCAGTAACCAGGTACCCCTTGCCACTATGCTCTTACACGTATGTGCATTCTTATCCCGGGTCCCTCACTCCTGTCTTTTGGGGACCACCCACCAAGGTCTAACTCAGGTGCCTCTGATGAGGCCTCCTTATTGGGGGAAGAAAGAGAAACCTTAAAGACACTTCTCCTACTCTGACTCAGTACTTTTCCACTCCTAGCTTTTACCATTTTAAACAGTGAAATCACAACCAAAAAGCACAAAAAATGAGGAGAATATGGCACTAAATAGACCATGAAAAGGGTACTTGTTGGCTCTATGAGAGCAGAAACAAGAAGGCAGAATGTTGCCTTGTTTGACCTCAGCTGGAACATGTGCACTGGGAGATGTGAATTTTTCACCACTCTGTACATGAATATTAATGACTGCAAAAGCATCATACGTATTATTTCTGGGGTCACAACAAATTTTAGTGAGTAGGTGAATTCGCAGATAAGGAGCTTGCAAATAAGGATCAACCATACTCTGATCACAACATTAAACTGGAAATCAGTAACAAAGATTTTGGAAACATTTGCAAGTATTTATAAATTAAATAACACACTCCTTAATTACACATGGGTCAAAGAAGAAATCATGGGAAATCTGAAAATATTCTGACCTTCATGTAAGTGAAAACATAATATTAAAATATGCACATAAAGCAGTGGTGAGAGAAATTGAGAGCTTTAAATGCTAATGTTAGGAAAAAAAACCTTAAAATCAATGATCTAAGTTTCTACCTTGAGAAACTAGAAAAAGAACAAATTGAACCCAAAAGCAAGCAGAAATAATGAATAACTGAAATCAATAAACAGCAAACAAACAAACAATAGAGGAAAATCAATGAAACTAAAAGCTGGTTCTTTTTTTTTTTTAAGATTTATTTATTTACTTGACAGAGAGAGACACAGCGAGAGAGGGAACACAAGCAGAGGGAGTGGGAGAGGGAGAAGCAGGCCTCCCACTGAGCAGGGAGCCCGATGCGGGGCTCAATCCCAGGACCCTGGGACCATGACCTCAGCCGAAGGCAGACACCTAACGACTGAGCTACCCAGGCGCCCCTAAAAGCTGGTTCTTGACAAATTTCTAGCCAGACTCATCAGGGACAAAAATAAAGAAGACACAAATTGTCAATATCAGGAATGAAAGAGTATAAATGATATATACCTTTACAGAGTATAAAGATAGTGAAAGAATACTAATGAAATTGTATTATGAACAACTTTATTGTAACAAATTTAGCAAGTTAAATAAAACGGACCAAATCTTTGAGAAACAAACTACTATAAGCTTGCTCAAAAAAAATGGAGAACCTGAATAGCCCTGTATCTATGAAGGAGATTGAATTCATATATAAAAACCTTCCCAACAAAGAAAAGTCCATATATGACTTCACTGGTGAATTCTATCAAGTATTTAAAGAAGAAATAATACCAATTCTATACACAATCTTCCAGAAAATAGAAAAAACAAAAAACAAAACAAAAAAAACACCCCGAAAAGCCTTTACAATTCATTTCATGAAGCCAGCATTATTCTGATACCAACACCAAGCAAAGATATCACAAGAAAATTATCCCTGAGACCATTATCTCTCATGACCAGACATAAAGTTCCTTTACAAAATTTTAGCTGATCCAGTCAATTTTTACAAAGGATAATATATTATGACCAAGTGGAGTTTATTCCTGGAATGCAAGTCTGGTTCAATAGACAAAACTCAATGTAACTGATACTACTAGTAGACTAAGAAAGACAAAAATCATACAATCCCTTCATTAGATGCAGAAAGAACATTTGACAAAATTCAACATCTATTTTCAGCAAACTATAGATAAAAAGAAATGTCTGCAATCTGATAAGGGCATATATAAAAAAGCTACAGCTAATACCATACACCCTACAGCATCAGAGTAAATGCTCTTCCCCTAAGATGGCGAACAAGTTAACATATCTGCTTTCACCACCTCTATCCAATATTATATTAAAGATCTTAGGGGCACCTGGGTGGCTCAGATGGTTAAGCGTCTGCCTTCAGCTCAGGTCATGATCTCCAGGTCCTGGGATCGAACCCCACGTTGGGCTCCCTGCTCAGCAAGCCCCTTCCTCTCCCTTCTGCTCCTACTCTCTCTCTCTCTCTCTCTGTCTCAAATGAATAAATAAAAAATTCTTAAAAAAAAAAAATAAAGATCTTAGCCATTGTAGTAAGTCAAGAAAAAAAAATAAATAAATGCCAACGAGATGGGAAAGGAAAAAGCCAAAATGTCTCATTTATAGACATTACTATTTATATAAAAACTCCTTAGAAATCTATAGAAAAAGTTACTAGAATAAATTTAGCAAAGCCACAGAATACAGGGTCCATGTACAAAATTCAATTGTGTGTGTGTGTGTATATATATATATTTAATAATGTTAAAAAGGCATTATGTCCCAAAAGTATGTAGTAAAAGGTATAAATTTAACAAATTGTGTGCAAGATATATTCAAAGAAAAGTACAAAACACTGCAGAGAGAAATTAAAGATGGCCTAAATAAACAGTTATACCCTATCATGATGAAAAGACTCAATGTTAAATATGTCCGTTCTCCCCAAATTGATACACTGATTCAGTGCAATTCCAATCAGAATCCTAGCATGTATTTTTGTAGTTATGGATGAGATGATTATAAAATTTATATATAAATGAAAATAAACCAGTATAGGCAAAATAAATTTTGAAAGAGAACCAAAATAAAAGGGGTCATATTACCTGATTTCAAGATTTACTAAAACACAATAATCAAGACAGTACGACATTGGCTTAAGTAAAGATATATGGATAACTGGAAATAGAAAATCCAGATATAGACTCAATTATACGGAGTCAACTGATTTTTGACCAAGGTGTCAAGGTAGTTCAATGGGGAAAGAAGAGGCTTTTCAACAAACTGTGCTAGGACACTGGATATTCATTTGCAAAAAAACCCAAAAAACAAAACAAACAAAACAAAACTCCATCTACCTCATACCACGTACAAAAGTTAACTTGAAATGGATCACAGACAAAAACGGAAGAGCTAAACCACAAAACTTCCAGAAGAAAATATAGGAGAAAAATCTTTGCAGTCTTGCTAAGAAAAGATTTCTTAGATACAACAACAGCATGACCCATAAAAGAAGATCCTGATACAATGGACTTCATCAAAATTAAGAATTTCTGCATTTAGATAATGAAAAGACAAGCCACAGACAGGAAGAAAATATCCGCAAATCACAAATCTCACAAAAGACTTGTATTCTGATATAAAGAACTCTGAAAACTCAATAAGAAAAACTCAATCAAACAAAATGGGCCAAACATCTGAATAGACACTTTACCAGAAGATATACAGAAGGCAAATCAACACATGAAAGAAACTTAGTATCTCTGGTCATTAGGGAAATATAAATTAAAACCACAATGAGATATTACTACACTTCTATTAGAAGGTCTAAAATTAAAAAGACTGACCATGCAAAGCAGCTGGTAACTAGAACTCTCATACACTGCTGGTAGGAATGCAAAATGGTATAACCACTTTGAGAAAACAGTTTGACAGTTTCTTAAAAGCTACACACAAATCTATCATATGATCCAGCCAATGTACTCTTTGGTTGTCTAAGAGAAATGAAATATATGTCCACATAAAGACTTGTGGATGAACGTTCACAGCAGCTTTATTCTGAACAGCTCCAAACTGGAAACAACTCAAATTTCCATCATTTGGTGAATGGATAAACAAATTATGTTGTATCTATACGATGGAATAATACTCAGCATTAAGAAGGGACAAATTGTTAATATATGCAACAACATGGATGAATCTCAAAATCATTACGCTAAATCAAAGAAGACAAAAAGCTATATACTAAAAATGTTCTATTATGATTGTGGTGGTGCTTACATAGCTACATAGATTTGTCAAAACTCAAAATGTACATTAAAAATTGGTAAATTTATCTGTACCTCTGAAACAAATAATGCGATATACGTTAAGAAAAAAAAAAGAAGAAGAAGATAGCAGGAGGGGAAGAATGAAGGGGGGAAATCGGAGGGGGAGACGAACCATGAGAGACGATGGACTCTGAGAAACAAACTGAGGGTTCTAGAGGGGAGGGGGGTGGGGGGATGGGTTAGCCTGGTGATGGGTATTAAAGAGGGCACGTTCGGCATGGAGCACTGGGTGTTATGCACAAACAATGAATCATGGAACACTACATCCAAAACTAATGATGTAATGTATGGGGATTAACATAACAATAAAAAATTTTAAAAAATTGGTAAGTTTGTTATCACATAATTAGTATCTCAATAATGCTGATTTTTAAGAAATGCAAGAGGGTGATGAACACATAATCTGGAATAGTGATTTCCTTGGGTGAGGGGAGGCAAAGAAGTTGTATGGCGGGAAGCAGCACATCAGTAGATGTCAACTATTGTTAACATTCTCAGGTTGTTTCATACATGTTTATTGTATTATTAAAACAGACACAAAAAACTGAAGGAGGGTTATCATGAATAACAACACAGGTAATTTAAGAACCAAAAATAAGGACTTGATACAATTCTGTACTCTTGATGTCCAATTTACAAAATAAAATAGAAATTGGGGTGATTAATGTTAGAAATGATTTAGTATTAGCTATATTCAGAAAACTTCACTCTTCAGAATGACTCATTTCTTGAGAGTCTGAATTTCATTCTAACCAATATTTAAGATATTAACTTTAAAAAAAATAACTTCATAAGGCCTAATTCTGAGGCATGCTACCGCTTACCCAGGGGTTCCACCAATTGGTCAACCAGTCCCATTTTCTTCGCTTTGTCTGCACGAATGTTTCTACCAGTCAGCATCATGTCAAAAGCAGCAGGTACACCCACCTAACAAGCAAGCAAGGACCAGAGTACAGGGGCAAAAATATCAGAGTGACAATTACAGTTTACAAAACAATTATAGTTTACAGTTTACAAATCATTCAACTGAGAAAAATATTTAAATGAGGAAAGTCAAATCAGATTTTTATGCTATTTATCAATCAGTTAAATTTTACACACTGATACACATTTAGGTAACTTTTGGGATTAGACACTTCCAGTTGAAGCAAAAATGTTTGTATCTCTTCTTTTAATTCAATATGTAAGATTTCTGTCTTATGGAATTGATAAGGTACAGAAATAATTTCATGTTTCCTAAAGCTGTGCATTTATATATTATGTCATTTAAATAATGCTTAAAATTCCTTTAGTGG